CACACACATACACACACACACTCTTGCTGAGTCCCCTTTACCTGGGCCTCCAGCATCACACCCATTTATCCAACAAATATTTATGGAGCATCCACGTTGTGCTAGGAGCTGGAGATTAAAAGGTTGTATAGGCACCCAGTGTGTGTGTGCCTGTGCGCACGCACATGCACATGCACTCATGCATGTGTGTATATGAGTAAGTGCGCGCAGGCTAGGGAAGCAGGAGGAAGAAGAATGTTCCAGAGTCAAGCAGTTTGCGTTTGAATCTCAGGGCTGCCATTTAGCCAGGTGACCTTGGGTAATTTACATAACCTCTCTGGGCCCCCCTCTCCCATCTGCAAAACAGGCCACGGGAGCACTCACCCCATGGGGTGCTGTGGGACTGAGTAAGCACAGGGTGCTTAGTGTGGAGCCCAGCAAAAAAGCAGGTGCACGGGAAATATTAGCAACAACTGGTGCCTCCTCATCTCGCTCAGAGCTGGGTGTGTGCAAACTCATAAATGACCCGTTCTCCCAATCTGGCCCTGGCTCAACCTCAGTGACTCAGAGGCGGCCACCTGGCGCTAACCACCTCCTGTCCCCTGGGGCTCATCTATAAGACCGCAGCCCACAAACACCGCTGCCCTCTTCTGCCCTGGATTGGTCCTCCACTCTCCCCCGCCCCCGCCTCGCCCCAGGCTGCTGGTTTGGGGAAGAAGAGGTACGCAGCGTGGGCTGCCTCAGCTCAGGGCTACCCTCCACACAGGTGTCTGTGCCCTCAGCTGGCTGGGAGGGGAAGAGAGGTGTGGGGGAGCCTCTGGGGTGGAGCCCAGGCACCCAACACTCTGGGACTGGGGAACCAGGGACTTGTCAGGGAGGGAGGGTGACGGGGATTCCAGCTCAGAGGATCCATCCTTGACATTCGGGAGTGGGTGGCGGCTGGTGCTAATGCTGGGTAGAGAAATGGCGGGGCCTCCCTGGGAGTTCGGGCCAGGTCATGCAGAGGCCAGCAGTGGTATTGGGGCTCCTCTGTTCTTGAACAGCTGTCCGCGTGGGGTTTGAGACGTGGGGAAGGAGTGTGGGCTCAGCCAGACAAGAGGAGGGTTCAGGGAGTAGACACACACACACACACGCACACGCACACGCACACACACACACGCGCGCGCGCACACACACGCACACACGCGCGCACACACACACGCGCGCGCGCGCGCGCGCGTGCAAGCTACCTCGGGGGTGCATCATGAGGGTGCAGTGCCTGGCTGGGCAGGAAGGAGGGAGAGAGTCCAGTGTGTCTGTGCGTGGGTGCAGGAGACGGCTCTGTGGTTCTTGAGTATGTGCCTGGGCCCTCGGGTGGATGTCTCTGTTTCCACGTGAGCTGAGGTGAAGGTAGGTTTTTGGCTCTACCTCTGCCTTATCTCTTTGCCTGAAACTCTCAGCAAATTGGCAGAGAATTTCCCCTTTCGGGACAGTGGGAAAATATGGCTCATCAGACGGTATGGGTCAGGGCCTTACAAACACGTGCAGATCATAGGACATTCTTCTGTGTGACGCTTAGCTGCACGAGCTGGGATTTATACACATTTAAGAGAGAGAGTGCTGAGTACTCTGCGTGTGCATCTGGCGTTTCCGTGTGGCTGATGTCTGGTGCGTATGTGTGTCTGTGTCTTCGATGCGTGTGTCACTGTCTTCAAGGCACCGCCTGTGTCCACAGCTGGGTCCATACCTGTCTCCAAGAAGCCATGTACCAGGGGCAGGAGCACGGGCCCCTCCACACGGAGACAATCCGACGCTCAAATCCAAGTTTGGACAGGAGCCGATCCATTCATCTTGGACATGCTCCGAAGCTTCCATACACCCGTTTCTTCACGGGGATAATAACAGCACTAACCGCACCAGGTTCTGGCCAGGGTTTAAGTGAGATGAAAATACGCACCCGACATAGGTCAGAACACATTAACGGTCCTGTCTTTGAATGTGCCTCTCAGAGAACCACGTCTCCGTGGTTGTGACCGTAATGTGTGATGCCTCCGTCAGAGTGGGAGTTGCTTTAAGGCAGAGCATAGGTCTTAATGATCTTTAGCGACACTCAGGACACCTCACGGCCACCTCGATGTCTTGTGCATCTGTCCTCTTGAAGGGGAATTACATAAGCCCGTGAAACAGAGTCCTGCTGTCTGATGTATGCCTGCCCCTGGGGGTACCTAGCGGGTGACTGGGCAGCCAGTGTTGGCACAGTGATGACAGCCCCCCATGGCCACGGCTGGACCCCCGCACCTGTGTCTCTCTGCCATCCCAGGTCCCTCCCTCCTGTCTCAGGCTGCTTCCTCCTTTCTCAGCTCACCCCTCCACAAGCATCAGCCACGGTGCCGGGCACGCCTGTATGGCTTTTTAGGGGCCAGCTGGGGAGCTGACAGGAGCACTCTCCAGTCTGCAGGCTATGGCCCTCCTCTGCAGTGTGTGTGTGTGTGTGTGTGTGTGTGTGTGTGTGTGCGCGCGCGCGTGCGCGCGTGCGCGCGTCTCTCTGTCGGGACGTGTGAGTGACGTCTCTCTGTATGGGGTTCCTCTGTGTTATGGTGGGTACATGCGTCTGTCCCTTGTGTGACGCGCCTGGTGCCTGGGCTTTGCTCTCCTCCCCGCAGCGGTCCCAGTTACGTAAGCTTCTGAGCTGGACTCAGGCCTGGGCTGCAGGCTCCCCCTGCTGGCAGCCTCCAGAACTCAGAACTCCCAGTCTGGGGAGGGGCGTGTGGAAGAATCTGGTTCTCCCAGGACCTCAGCCCCACCGGAAACACCAGCCCAGCCCTCAACACCTACCTGCCCCAGCGCCCGCCCAGCCCCGAGCCGTAGGGTGTTCTCAGCAACCTCAGTGTCCCCTCTCATAATGCTCATACTGGGAGGTTGCTTATTACTTGCATATGGTATGGCCCCCTGGGGAACGACTGTGTGTTCCCTGAAGACAGGGTACCATGCCGGCCATGCTTACCACAGCATCTCCAGTGTCCAGAACCAGGCCTGGCCTAATCAGTGTTTGTTGAATGACCAAGTGTATAGGGTGAAAAAGCTTGGGAAGAGAGACAGTGGGCTGTGGGAAGATTTGGGGCTCTGGGGACAGACGGGCCTGAGCTCATCAGACATTGGCCACTTAAAAGCTGTGTGGCCTTGGAGAAAATGCTTAACGTCTCTGAACCTTCAGTTTCTCATCTGTTAAATGACACCATCTGGTAAAATATGCTGTAAAGACTAGAAATAACATCCAAAAGGACCTTACTATGTAGGCATCTATTGGGATGATGATGAATGGCAACATCTCCCATCTCTCAAGCATCAGGAAGCAGTAAGTCCACTCCACTCCCAAATAAAGGGGAGAGTAGTTTTCCTCCAAAGCTGCCCCAGGCCTTTCCGCTTTCACATAGCTCAGTCTGACCTGTGGGTAGATTTAGGGGAAATGGATCTGGAGAAATCAGGCTGTGAATATGTCCAAGTGGGAGGAAGGCATCTTGTCGCCCTGTTCCTGGGCCAGCCCTGGAAGTACTGGGAGGGCTGTCCTTTGCCAAAACTCTGAAGCGGAGGGCCTGGGCTGAAGGGCGCCGCTGGACCTCGCAAGGTCCCGGGAGACCGGTTTGCCACCCCCTCCAGCAGAACCAGAGGGAGTGGGTTAGGGGAGGGCGCCGTTTCTGCTTCAGAGTTTCTCTGGTCTCTGAATGTGGCTTCAAATGAGCACCTCCTCTGAGCCAGGCACTGGCTGCCTCCAAGGAAGACCGGGTCTGGCCTCTGCCACTTTTCCTCTTGGAGCCTCAGTTTCCTCCTCTGCAAAAGGAGGCAGGGAGGGAGTGCGAGGGGTAGAGTAGGAGCCCGGGGCGGGTAGGGGGTTGGAGGGTGAAGGTGCTAGATGAGCTCTGGGGTCGCTTCCCAGGGACGCCCCCTTAGCAGACAGCTTTGCAGACCTGGCTGTCCCTTCTCCTATCTGGGCCCACCCTTCCTCCCCACTGGGCACCTCCCCACTCCCCACCTTCTCGGGGCCGAGGGGAGACAGAGCTCTCCCATTCTCCCACCTCCAGGGCAGGCCCCACTCTGCCCAGTGCCAGGGACGTCCGTCTCTCCTCATGGGAAACAGAACGTCTCAGGAAGCAGTTCAAAGAATCATTCAAAAACACAAGCAAAACCCCGTAATTCCCTATCTCCTATTACGTGTTATCCCGTGCCAAGAACCTCATGTACATTATCTCACAAAAGCCCTTCGGGGTGGATGTCATCCCACCTAAAGGTGCCGACAAGAAAGCAGGCTGAAGGGAGTTAGCCAACTTGACGGGATTCCCAACCAAGAAGTGACGGCGCCCAGACGGCGCCCTCCCCTAACCCACTCCCTCTGGTTCTGCCGGAGGGGGTGGCAAACCGGTCTTCCGGGACCTTGCGAGGCCCAGCGGCGCCCTTCGGCCCAGGCCCTCCGCGTTCCGGAACTCCTGGGTCCCGCCCATCCCCACTCGAGCGGGGCTTGCGGCGAGGCCTAGCGGCCCGGGGCAAACGACTGGATCCTAAGTGCGTGGCCGGTCACCTGACCGACCCCGAGGCCCCTGCACCCAACTCTGAGAGAGAAAGGCCGGCAGGTGCAGGGTGGGGGTGGGGGACTGGGTAGGGGTTTGGGGGAGCCCGGGTGCCGCCCCTTTGCGTCGGCCGGGGTAGGGGCGGAGCCGGGACCGAGGTTGGGGCGGGGCTGAAGCCGGAGTTGGGGCGGAGCCCGGACCGAGGTGGGCGGAGCAGGGCCGGGGTCGGGGCGGGTCGGGGCCCCGGGCCGGGCTCAGATCGGATCCGGGATCCGGGGCCCGGGGCCCGGGGTCTGAGAGGGTCCGGGGTCGGGGAGCGGGGCGGAGACATAACAGAGGTCGGGGTGGGTCCGGCGTCCGGGGCGGGGGGGGGGGGGTGGGGGGGGGGGGGGGGGGGGGGCTGGGACCGGGGTGGGGGGGGGGGGGGGCCGGGGGGCCGGGGGGGGGGCAGGGGGGGGGGGGGGCGGGGGGGGGGTTGGGGGGGGGGCGCGAACGGTCTGCCGAGCCGCCGCGGAAGGAGGGAAAGCGGTAGGAAGAGGAGGGGAAGGGGGGGGACTTGGAAGCTCCCGCGCCGCTCGCCTCGGCTCCGTGCACCCACGCCTCGCTGCTCCGCTTCGTGCCCTCTTCCCGGGCATGCGCCCCCCCAGTCCCGGTCCACCCAGAGCCCGCGCCGACCCCCGTAGCCTCCCCAAAGCCGGCCGCGCAGGATGGGCGCCCTCGGTCCCTCGCCGCGGCTGCCGCCGCCGCTGCTGCTGCTAATGCTGGGTAAGCCGGCCCCCGCCCCGGCCCCCCACCCCGCCGGCAGGTGCCTGCCACCTGGCGCCCAGCCCTGCCCGCCTCCCCAGCGTTTCGGAGCCCCTAGCACCCGCTACTCCGTCAGGGGCGCCTCGAGCCTCCCTCCCTGGGCTCAGCGCCCAGCGGCCCTGAGTGGTTGCCCGCCGAGCCAGTCCCCAGCTCTAGGCCCCTGGCTGGGGCCCAGTGAGGACCCACCGAGGTGCCACCTGCAGGCCGCCGGGCCAGCCCCACTTCTCAGCCGGCATACTCAGGTTCTGGGGTCGCTGCGCCCAAATGCTGCGACTCCCTCTGCCTCACACTGAGCTTGAGGCCCAGCGCTGGGTGCCCGCCCTGCGTGGGCAGTGCCGGCCCGTCTTCATAATTGCCAGGAGTTGGCTGGAGGCCCAGGGGCCGGTTCTGCCCGTGATCTTTGAAGTTCAGTCTCCCCAGATGGTTCCCCTTCCCCCAGACCTCATCATCTGTGGTTTGGGGCAATTCCCCCTGTCACCCCCATCTCCATCCTGGGCCGGGTCTCCCTTTGCCCCCTTTCCCTCTCTCAGGTCGCACTGGGCTCTGTAGCCTCTCACTGCTCGTCACACCCCCTTAATTCCCCGCTCCCTGCCTCAGGAGAAACCAAGCTCCATGGAGACCGATGCTGGGATCTCCAAGCACCTTGGGTCTGTGGGGGTGGGTGTTCCTGGTGAGGTGTTCTGGCCACCGCTGCATGGATGCATGAGAGAGCACCTGGCAGCGCAGTTGCTTCTGGTCTGAACTGGAGGGTTCCCTTTGGGGCTGGTCCGGGGAGGAGTATGGCTTCGAGACAGGGAGGCTGCCTGTACAGATGTTTGGGAGACTGAAGCCCTTGCAATAAGAGCGCAGAGTGGGCCGGATTCGGAGCTGCCATAGTCAAGGCAAAGGCTGACGTAGCCCCAGCGGCCTGTTTCTAGACCAGAGCTCCACTGCAGCACCAAGCAGAGCCTCCCCCTGGCTCCATAGGTCCCCGGGCCCTGGGGAACTAGAACGAGGCCTCTCCTTGGGGCCCTGGGTGGGAGGCAGGAGGAAGTTGCTGTGGGGCCCGGTTGCCTAGCACGTGGCTGGTTGTCCCCAGTGCGCAGCGTGGAGCGGAAGAGCCCAGGGGAGATGGGGGTGTGTGGTGCGCAGACATGGAAGAGCCCGCAGAGATCTGAGTGCCCACTGCGTGCAGGCGCTTAGGTTCATTCTGAAGAGGAGGAAGATGAAGTGATTTGCTCCAGAGAGCCCATCTCGTGAGCGTTGGGGCTTGGATTTGAACCCAGATCCGTCTGACTCCAAAGCAGGTCTCTGCCCCACCTCCCCTCTCTGGCTGGGGAGAGAGCTGCCTAGCAGCTGGTTTCCTGGGGCGGCCTGACTGGCCGACTTTCCCATGGCGATCCCAAAGCATCAGCAGCTCTGGAGCCAGGAAGGTGGGAGGGGGCCCTTCTGAGCAGAGTCTGCCCGGAGGCCCAAAGGTGTCAGCTCATCTGTCTCCACCATCGCCTAGATTATGAAATGCCCTGGGGCAGGGCCCTCCTGAGTCACACACTCACTCGCTGTCAGAGTGGAGACTGTCTTGGGAGAGGAAGAGATGTGTCAGTGCAGCTGTGAATGAGGATGTGGCTGGTGCCCAACCTCCGGAGGCCCAGCATGTGCTTTAACCAAGCGACCACAGGTGCCTCCCTCCTCCCTGGACTCAGCCGCAGGAAGAAGGGGCTGAGAGCCCAGCTCAGGTGGGAAGGTCATGGGGAGCACGTCTGGAGGGGCTGGAGGACAGAGTTTGACCACAGACTTCGTATTTTCCTCCAGCCTCTGTAGAAAGGCTCTGGGTATGCCCCTGGGAGTGACAGACATTCTGGTTGGTGAGGTCAGTCCCCTCGGGCCTCCCCTGGGAGTTTCCCATCTTCCTCCCTGGCTTTGTCCCTCTGCGGGGGGCCTGCGGAAGCCATCTAAGGATAGTAGGATCTTGGTCAAGACCTTACACTTCTCTTGCCTTACATCTCTCGTCTGTAAAATGGAGGCAGGGGGCTGACCCAGCCCTCCTTCCTATGGCCTGGAGTTCTGGGATCTTATCCAGTGGGGCTATGGAAGGATGGAAGGACAGAAGGAAGAAGCAGGGCCCTCTGAGGGACTCAGGAGTATCTGCTGGGGCAGGATGAAGAGGAGAATTTTGGCCTCTCTCAGGAGAGAAAGATGGGAAGGGACAGCTGGGGTTTGCACCTCTCAACAGAGAGGGAACCTTATGTAAGTGAACGCACCCCACATGCAAATGAAGGCTTTTGTTAGGGAGTTGGGAGGGGGGCACTGTGCCTCAGCTGGGCCAGCCAGGAAGATTGGCAGGCCCTGGGGGGAGGGGTGGGGACCTTCTGCCCCCAGAGGCCAGGGCAGAGGCTGGTTCTTGCCCCATAAGCCTCAGCTGTCTCTGCAGCCCCGTGGGGTGGGAGCAGCAGTGAGCTCATGGCACAGCTGGAGGGGGGAGGGCATTGTGTGGTGAGAACTGGCTGGGTCTGTGCCCTGTCCTGCTCGGGCCACTGGCTCTATTGTCTGGAGTCCCCTGGTCCAGGTGACACAGCTGAGCCAACCAGCCCTTCTGTGCAAGAGTTTGCCAACTCCCCTCAAACAAAGGAGAGGGCCATGTGGTCTCAGAATCCCTTAGCTGGAAGGCCCCACTGACCGGGCCCAGAACCGATGGGAGTGGGGAGATGTGGGAGGGAATCGAGGTACAGCTGAAATCAAGGAGGGAGAGCAGATGGGCCTCTTTCTGCCAGTAGGTGCCTTACTTCTGGCCTGCCAGAAATGGGATGTTTCTGGGTTCTGAGGCAAAGCCGGGTTCTAGAACCCACTCGAGATCCAGGTGTCTCACCTCCCAGCGGCATCCTTTCCCTGTCCTCAGGGCCGGGCCCCACCTGGGTCCCCACCTTCCCCGGGTTTGCTCTTCTTTATTGCGCAGGAAGCCAGAATGGTGCTGGGAGCGGGGGATACAGTGGGGACCCAGGCAACTCCAGCTTCTCCTGTCCTTCCCTACAGGAGTCCAGTGCTTTGCCCGGGAGGTGCTGGTCCCCGAGGGGCCCCTGTACCGCGTGGCTGGCACGGCCATCTCCATCTCCTGCAATGTGAGCAACTACGAGGGCCCTGCCCAGCAGAACTTCGAGTGGTTCTTCTACAGGCCTGAGGCCCCCGAGGCTGCGCTGGGCATTGTCAGTACCAGGGATACCGGGTTCTCTTATGCCGTCTTCGGGCCCCGCGTGGCAGCTGGTGAGGTGCAGGTGCAGCGTCTACAGGGGGATGCCGTGGTGCTCAAGATTGCCCGCCTCCAGGCCCAGGATGCGGGCATTTACGAGTGCTATACGCCCTCCACTGACGCTCGTTACCTGGGCAGCTACAGCGGCAAGGTGGAGCTCAGAGGTACTGGCCCTGGGGCGGGCGCAGGCCCGTGCGCCCGAAAGGCCCAAAGTCAGGGCCTGGAGGGACCTGCCTAACCGCCCCTCAGGTTTTGTGGCTGAGGAAGCTGAGGTCCATCCGAGGGGTTGTGTGGCACAAAATCGCCCAACAAGTCAGGGGCCAGTCGGGGACTCTAGCCAAGGTCTCTTCATTCCAGCCCGTCGGTCTTCCTCTTCTGTGGGGCTACCTCCTGGGAAAGGGGGAGCCAGTCCCCTGCATTCCCTGCTGGGGGGAGCCCGCTAGGGTGAAGGGCCTCCATTCCTAGAGACTCCAGGATGCAGATCTGGGGGTGGCGGGGGACGAAGTAGAGGTAGGGTTACGAGGAGTGAGGCCATGTGACATTCTTGCTCTCTTTCGTTTCTTTGTCTTCTGAGAAGGCAGACAGAGCCACTTTTCTGTGGTCCTGACAGGGGTTAGTTCCAAACATACGGGTGAGTAGGCGATGGGCTGGGCTGTGAACTTCAGCAAGCATTTATTGAGCGCCTGGTGTGTGCCCGGCACCACTGGGTCACCGAAGAGATGACATAAGATGAGCTCTGCCCAGTAGGAGCTAACCGCGGTCCATTTAGGGAAACGGGTTGTACACAGGGAGGGGTGACGAGGGCCACCAGCTCACAGCCCTCCCTCACTCCAGCTGTTCTATCCAGTTCTTCCAGATGCGCTGCAGGTGTCTGCTACCCCCCCGGGGCCCCGAGGCCGCCAGGCCCCGACGTCGCCCCCCCGGCTGACAGTGCACGAGGGGCAGGAGCTGGCCCTGGGCTGCCTGGCGCGGACCAGCACACAGGAGCACACGCACCTGGCGGTGTCCTTCGGGAGAGCGGTGCCTGAGACGCCAGTGGGGCGAGCCACTCTGCAGGAAGTGGTGGGGCTCCGGCCGGACCTGGCTGTGGAGGCCGGGGCTCCCTATGCCGAGCGGCTGGCTGCAGGGGAGCTGCGGCTGAGCAAGGAGGGAGCTGAACGGTACCGCATGGTGGTGGGGGGCGCCCAGGCGGATGACGCGGGCACCTACCACTGCACGGCGGCCGAGTGGATTCAGGATCCCGATGGCAGCTGGGCCCAGATCGCGGAGAAGAGAGCGGTCCTGGCCCACGTGGACGTGCAGACACTGTGTGAGTGCCACACACCCCACGGTGGGAGCTGGGAGCCCTGGTATCTTGGGGGGGGGGCCACGGCCGAGGGGGGCACTGATGGTCACCGCCTGACTCCAGGGAGCCCATCTTCCCGAGGGAGCGGGTCCTGTTAGCGTCCCTTCCCTCCCTCCCCTGGCGGGTTCTCTCTGCTCAGAAGTTGGGTGTGGAGAGAGGAGGGCCATGGCTGAGAGGTGAGAGGCCCTGGGTGGTGGGGATGGCCGTACCCCATGAGGGGCAGAGGACCGGCTCGCGGTGCTGCTGCGGGGGAGGGGGGGGAAGGAACTACAGCGGGGGAGTCATGCTCTGTGCCCCCTCCCGCCTCCGTGACAGCCCTTCCCTGTCCTGTGTTTCAGCCAGCCAGCTGGCAGTGGCAGTGGGGCCTGGGGAGCGTCGGATCGGCCCGGGGGAACCCTTGGAACTGCTGTGCAACGTGTCAGGGGCCCTGCCCCCGCCGGGCCGCCATGCCGCCTACTCTGTGGGCTGGGAGATGGCCCCTGCGGGGGCGCCGGGGCCTGGCCGCCTGGTAGCCCAGCTGGACACAGAGGGTGTGGGCAGCCTGGGCCCTGGCTACGAGGGCCGGCACATTGCCATGGAGAAGGTGGCGTCCAGAACCTACCGCCTCCGGCTGGGGGCTGCCAGGCCCGGTGATGCGGGCACCTATCGCTGCCTTGCCAAGGCCTATGTCCGAGGGTCTGGGGCTCGGCTTCGAGAAGCAGCCAGTGCCCGCTCCCGGCCGCTCCCCGTGCACGTGCGGGAGGAAGGTGAGGGGGGCGGTGGCTGGGGCCTCTCCCGGGGTCGGGGCTTGCAGAACCTTTTCCTTCTGCTTCTGGGCTTCTCTCCCTCCACATCGGCTGCCACCACACCCTTCTCTCCCGCTCCTCTTCTTCGGGATTCTGGGAGCCCCTTGAGCTCCCTGGGGTGCTGCTTGGCCAGCGGTCCTAACCCCATGCCCCCCTGGCCCCACGTCCTTGTTCTGCAGGCGTGGTGCTGGAGGCCGTGGCATGGCTGGCGGGAGGCACCGTGTACCGTGGGGAGACGGCCTCCCTGCTCTGCAACATCTCCGTGCGGGGCGGCCCCCCGGGGCTGCGGCTGGCTGCCAGCTGGTGGGTGGAGCGGCCCAAGGACGGGGAGCCGAGCTCTGGCCCTGCCCAGCTGGTGGGCGGTGTGGGCCAGGACGGTGTGGCGGAGCTGGGGGTCCGGCCTGGAGGAGGCCCTGTCAGCGTGGAGCTGGTGGGGCCCCGAAGCCATCGGCTGCGGCTGCACGGCTTGGGGCCCGAGGACGAAGGCGTGTACCACTGCGCCCCCAGCGCCTGGGTGCAGCATGCCGACTACAGCTGGTACCAGGCAGGCAGTGCCCGCTCGGGGCCCGTCACGGTGTACCCCTACACGCACGGTGAGTGACCCCTCCACCCCGCCCCGCCACCATTCAGCCTGGGCCCTTCTTCTCCCCTTTCCACGTGCTTCTCCTGCTCCTGTCCCCCCTTCTCCTCCACGTCACTCCATACCAAGAGTCTCGGACACCCGCTTTCAGCCCTTTCCGGCCCCAGCATCGCCGCCGACTGGAGTCAGGGCCGAGGGGCCGGGGAGGGCTGTCTGTGAGTGGAGGACGTGGAGCCCACAACCCAGTAGAGAAGGCGCGGGGAGCAGGTGTGGCAGTAGGAGCAGGGCGGAGGCCCCCCGGCTGAACCGAGCCGTCCGCTCTCACCCAGCCCTGGACACCCTGTTTGTGCCCCTGCTGGTGGGTGCCGGGGTCGCCCTAGTCACCGGCGCCACCGTCCTCGGCACCATCACCTGCTGCTTCATGAAGAGGCTGCGAAAACGGTGATCCCTCGCTGCGCAGGTGAGAGAGAAGAACCCCGACCTCGTCTTCTCCCCCCCCCCCCCCCCCCCGGAGTCCTGAGGTGAGCTGCCCCTCCCCACCCCAGCTGGGGAAGGAGCGGGCATCGGCGCTCTGTCCTCAGCGCACCCACACTGTCTCTCCAGTTCTTGCAGGTGTTGACTGTCTGTCAGCCCAGCTCCAAGACTGCCTCTGGTTGCCTGGCTACCGCTTCCTCTGTCCCCCTTCCTTTAATTTATTTGACCTCCCCCCACCCAGAGTGGGGGACGTGGCCCCCACTCCCCACTCCTTCCTTCCTGACTCCTCCCTCTGGCCTTCTGTTCTTGGTCTCATGCCCAGCCCATAGGGAGGCCATTCCCTGTCCTAGAATTAGTTTTTCTAAAATGTGAATAAACTTGTTTTATAAAATCCAGGGCTGGCTGTGTCTTCCCTGCCCTGGGGCTGAGGTGTGTGGCAGGGCGGCTGTTGGGGGGTTGACAAGCTATTCTGCATGCCCCGGGTCTCCCTTCCCACCACAAACACCATCTGGCCTCTGTGGGCCGTGCCACCCACCCAGGAGGGGACACCTGGGTCCCATCTGCTGCCCGAGCTGTCGGTGCCTTCCCAATCCCTGCTGGGACTTCTACTCGGGGAGGGGAGCACAGAGAGGGGCTGAGTTCACTGAGCCCGGCCCCCTCTCCCAGCCCTCTCCCACGCTGCAGGGCAGGGGCCTCTGGGGGAGGCCTTTTCTGGTTGCCCACACCACTCTGCCGTCCCATTTCTTGGTCCTCCTCCTCTTGGACCTGAGCCCTTCCAGGCCCTGGGGCCTCAGCCTTTTACCTCCTGATCTTCATTATTCTGTCTGACGGCAGGGGAACAGGAGCCCCAGAGCACAGCCCCCGGGGTGGCAGCGAGGACAGCAGTCGGGGAGGGCCTGTGTGTCCACAGAGCCCCTGCCTAGGTCTCCCCCGCCCCCCGCAGCCGGCATGCGCCCCCCCCCCCCCAGGTCTTAACTCCCCTCCCCTCCAGTGCCCCAGGGGTCCCCTGAATTTGTCTTTGCCTCAAGATTCTCTGATCTGAGAATTCTTAGTTGCTCTGCACCTTAAGGGGCACCCAGTTGACTTCTTTTAATTCAGTTATTTAAACATTTATTGAGCATTACTAGTGTGCTAAGTGTTCTTTTTACAGAAGTGGAAACTGAGGCCCAGAGAAGTGGTGTACCTTGCCCAGAGTCATAGAGCTCATTAGTGACAGTGTCAGGAGCACACTCCGGGGCCCCCGACTCCTTGCACTCTACACAGTGGTGCCCTGAGCGGTAACTGGGTGGCGTGGATACAAACAGCCACCCCTCCTGTCCAGACTCACCTGTTTCACTGAATTAAGCCTAATGACCCTGCCCCACACTATTTGTTCTTGAGGGAACAGCTGATGCCGGGGCTCAGTGACCCCATCTTTGACTGATGGTGACCCAGGTAGCCCTGTGACATGAGGCAGAGATGTTTCTCTGGGTGGACCCATGCTGGCAGCTCCCTCTGACCCCCTTCCCTGCTTTCAGGAGGCCCAGGGACCCACAGGACCTTGGCTCCCCGGCCTGGAATGGAGCAGACAGGGCTGCTTTCCCCCGCGGGGCTCAGCCCTTGGTTAAAGGACAGGAGCAGGTCCTGTGGCCAGGACCAAGAAGCAGAGGTCACTGCTGGGCCAGGGCTGTGGGAGCGCACGCTTGCCTGGACAAACGCTTTTCTCCCAGGAGGCCCGAGGCTGGCCTCAGGCCTATCCCAACCTGTCACTGCTGTCCCCTCACCATCCTGGAGGGCTGCCCCCGGTGACTCCGATGACCAGGACGCGGGTGGAGGTAGGGTGGGAGAGTGTCTCCAGGGCCTGCTGGCCTGGCGGGGCAGGCAGCAGGCCACAGACACAGCCAGATGTTCGGCCTCCTTGCTTCTCGCTCGCATGTCACCCACATCCAATCCTGCCTCTTCAGTCCCACAAGGGGTTCAGTCTTGGGCCGCTGGTGCCCTCCCTGCTCCAGCCCCCAACCCCTGCCCGGGAACCCCCTCGAGGACGCCTGACTGCTTCGGTTTCCCTGTCTTGCCTATGCATCTTCCCCGAACACCATCCCCAGCTTATCACTGCACCATTTCCCCTGATGGGTGAGTTCTCAGGCCCAGAGTTAAACTCGTCAGCCGGGGTTTCAGGGGCCCCTTTCCCACTCATGATAGTCCACCCTTTACTGTCCGGTCTCCTCCCCCAACAATCCTCGGTTTCTCCTCGGCTCCCCCACCCCCAGCTATTCCTCAGCTTTCCCCTCAGCTTCTCCTCAGCTCCTCTTCAGTTCCCCCTCAGCTCCTCAGCTCCCCTTCAGCTTTCCTTCAGCTTCTCAGCTATTCCTTAGCTACGCTCAGCTTCTCCTCATCTACCCGAGCTATTCCTCAGCTTCTCTCCAGCTTCTCCTCAGCTTCTCAGCTATTCCTCATCTCCCCCTCAGCAACTCCTAAGCTATTCTTCAACTCCCCCTCAGCTTCTCCTCATCTGCCCCTCAGCTACTCCTCAGCTTCTCAGCTGCTCCTCAGCTTTTCCTCAGTCCCCCCTCAGCTACTTCTGATACGACTCCCAAGTCTTTGTGTAGAGCAGTGGTTCTTAAAGTGTGGCCCCCATCCCAGCAGCATCAGCAGGACCTGAGAACTTGCTAGAAATGCAAGTTTTTGATCTCTACCCCAGACCTACTGAGTCAGAAACGCTGGGAATGGGGCCCAGCAGTCTGCTTTCGCAAGCCATCCAGGTGACTCTGACGCACACACCAGTTTGATAACTGCGGCTTACTCATTCTCTGTGCCTTACTCCCCAGATTTCTGATCGCCAAACCCTCCTGCCCTCTGCTCCGAGAGATGGCTCGGGTTCAGTCTGAACCATACCTTGTTCAGTTGCCACAGGGGCTTATTTCCCTGTGTTCCCAGGTGCACTGCATTCTGAGGATAGGGACGGAGGCCTCCGGATGCCCCCCCCCCCCACTATGTGGGGTCGGTGTTCTGGGCTCGGTGTGCGTCCAGTGAGTTCTGGGAAGGCCCTCTCGCCGTGCCCCAAGACAACTCTGCTTTCCGGCGGGCCCCTGTGTCCCAGCTCTAGTGAACTCACTTTCTGGATCTCCCCCCGGCCCTTCTTCCTCCTCAGAACGCCCCTCTCCCTCTCCTGCCTCTGCGGTGCTGTTTATGAGATCGCATTCTGCTCCCAGAACACAGCCATCCCCGGTTCTCCCGTCCCGGGCCCCGCTCTGGGGCCCCACCGCCTGCTTTCCTGCACTCGGGGGGGCAAGGTCATTCACACCCTGCTGGGCCACCCCTGCAGGCTTCCATCCTCCTGCTCTCCCGTCACCGTGGTAGGGGTGGAGCAGGGAGGGCACCCTCGTCTCAGCCCACCTACCCACCCAGCCTTCTCTCCTCTGGGTCAGCTCGGGCCACTGTGTCCAGTGAGACAGGGGTGCCATACACGGGGAGGCTGGCTGAGGAGATGAGTGGGGACTAAAATCCGGCCCACACTCTGCTCCCCAAGCCGTGCACTCGGGTTGGGGGTGGCATCAGCCTGGAGGTGAAGGGTGCCTTTTTAGAATTTGCACAAAGATGCTCTGTGGGTTAGCAGCAGTCCCGAGGGCACCACCTCTGTCTGTCCCCCAGCGTCCCTCTGCTACCACCTCCCCACCCGGCCCACATCAGTCCGTCCTTCCGTCCATCCAGCCACCCCTGAACAGATGTGAAGGTCAAACACAGGCTGGTATGTTCACCCGTCCCCGCGCTCCCTGAAATCGGACCCCTCCCTTCCATCGGATTCTGGGCTTGAGAATCTGAGGGGGCGCCCCAGCTTCAGCACATTCCCAGGGCTCTTGCCTGCCTCCTTCTCCACCTCTGACATGCAGCTCCCAGGTACCGGTGTCTGGCCCTGCCACAGGGGTCTGGAGGAAACTGGTCACACCTTAGACTCGCTCTCTGGGGGCGGCAGGCAGCCATTCTGCTCTTTGTCAGCACCAGCCTCTCCCCCCGCCCCCTCCCCGGCCCCCTCCTCCTCCACCTTCTCGTCCAGCCGGCTGGGGATGGACCAGTACAGATGGGCGTCAAGGCGGGCAGCGGCTTCGGCCAGCTCCCGGGCGCTGCACGAGGGTGTGGGCACCTCAAAGGTCTGGTGGAAGCTGGCATAGTCCACCTCATAGAAGCCATCCTCCAGGGTGAGCACGGATGTGAAGCGGTGGCCCCACAGCACCTCATCCACCAGGTAGGAGCTCCGAGCTTGGCATGTCATTCCTGGGGGGAGGGGCACGGGTCAGGGGGGGTCCCAGCCCCCCTTCGGTTCAGCCCGTCTTCTCCCCCTTCTCAACTCCTTCCTATACCTGCCCAGCTCCCTCTCTTCGGCATTCGTCCTAACCGTCTCGACCTCCAGCCCATCTCTGCCCTCCTCTGCCCATCAGAGAAGCTTAACCTTGAAACTGACCTTAGGGATCATCTAGTCCAACTTCCCTTTCCACACAGGGCTTCCCACTGGAGCATTCCCACTAACGGGCATTGAGCTGGTCCTTTTATCACCACCCAGGATGGAGAGCTCACCACCTCACAAGTGTGACACCTCTAATCGGTTGTTCTTAAATAAGAGCTGAAATCTGGGGAAGCCTGGGTGGCTCAGTCGGTTAAGCGTCTGCCTTCGGCTCAGGTCATGATCCCAGGGTCCTGGGACTGAGTCCCCCATTGGGCTCCCTGCTCAGCAAGGAGCCTGCTTCTTCTTCTTTTAAAGATTTTATTTATCTATTTGACAGAGAGAGGCACAGCGAGAGAGGGAACACAAGCAGGGGGAGTGGGAGAGGGAGAAGCAGGCTTCCCGCCGAGCAGGGAGCCCGATGCGGGGCTCCATCCCAGGACCCTGGGATCATGACCTGAGCCCAAGGCAGATGCTTAATGACTGAGCCACCCAGGCGACTCAAGGAGCCTGCTTCTTCCTCTGCCTGCCTCTCTCCCTGCTTGTGTGCACGCTTTCGCTCTCTCTCTCTCTGACAAATAAATAAAATCTTAAAAAAAAAAAAAGAGCGAAAATCTGCCTCCCCAGGATTTCCACCCCTTGCTTTTGCTCCTCCTCAGTGCCATTTGACACCCATTCAGGAACCTCAGGGCCCGTCACATCGTCTCTTCTTCAGGCTGAACATCCCTGGCTCCCTCTACCATTCCTCATGTGACCTGGCTTCCAGAAATTTTACTTTCTCGATTGCAAACCTGCATGGCCAAGGAGGACCGTTTCAGCACCTCGAGTATGATAAAAATATATTATATATGATAAATAAAATGATAAATCTCCAGCTGTGGCCTGATTCATGCACAGGAGAGGGCTCACCACCTCTCTCTTCTGGCCATGAGGCTTTAGCTAATAGGGCCCAAGATTACGTTACATAAACATTTTTGGAAGCTGTATCACAGTGCTGCAACATTAAGCCTGTGGCCAACTAAAACCCCCAGTTCTTTTTTTCACCAGAGCCTTTCAATGCGGTGCTTACATAAGTGATTTTTTTAAAGCCTAAATGTAGAATTTTATATTTATTCCTTTTAAATGTCATCTTGTTGGGTTTTGGCTCATTATCCTTGCTTTTCAAAAGCATTTTGAATCCTGACTCTCTCACCCAAAATATTGCCATCCTTTCCAACTTTGTCTCTCTAGAAAAGTCAGATGCGCTCCCATCCCTATCTCCTCCACAACGCCCTTCCCAGTCGTCTGCACCCTGGGGCTGGGTCCTGTCTTCCCTGGTGGGTGGGCACCAGGGCAAGCGATCCTCCTCCTACCCCGGGGTCTCTCCTCCAGCCCGTGTCCACCTCAGAACAAGGGAGAACGAAGACTGAACGTTAGCTAACCAGAGACTGGCTCTTGGCATTGCAAGCCCTGCCTGCCCTGAGACATCTTGGGGACATGGGTGTTGTTGTTCCTCTGGTGAAGGCTGGAAGAAGAAGTGTCCCGTGGGGGAAGGGCAGGAGAGGGGGAGGGAGGTCTGTGAGGAACAGAGGGAGGTGCTGGGGGTGTCAGGGGAAGCGGGCTGGGCAGGGACCTCTCCGCAAGGACTGCAGCTGCCTGGGGCCTGGCAGGAGAGTGGCAACTGGCTAGACAGCAAGGAAAGGGCCCAGGTGACTAGGGGAAAGAGCAGGAGCTAGAAGGAGCGGGGGTGGGTGGTGGTGGTGGTGGTGGTGGCAGTAAAGAAGCAATGGGGAGCCCTGGGGCGGAGGGTGGTGAAAGAGAGGCTTGGCAGGAAGGGCCAGGAAAGGCGTTTGAGGGCATTGGCCTGGGAAGCCAGCAGCGGCCACAGCGCAGGCCACACCTCATAGCCCTGAGATCACCCACTGCCGTTTTATTATCCTCCTCCCGCCTCCAGGTCTCAAGCGTCAGAGCACCTCATCTGTGCCCCTACTTTGGCCTCTTCCGACCTGCTCCCAGACCCTTCACTGTGTTGGCCTGAGTTACTGACATCACAGGGCTGTTGACAGCTCCTTCTGGAAAGGGGCCAGAAACGCTAAGACCGTCTGTTTCCTTTGTCAGTGGAAGTTGAGAGTCTTTTGATGGGTGGGGAAACTGAGGCAGAAGAAAGACCAGCTGTCAACCTGTTCCTAAGGCCCAGGCTAGTAATAATTTGGGCCATGGAAGACCCTCACCACCAAGTCCAGGGGCCTGGACCTCTCAGCAATGGAAAACCCCGGAACCTACCCCTCCTTCCACCAAACCCTGCAGCCGGACTGCCCCTGCCCTTATCCACTTATTTCGCCGGCGACCATGGACAGCTGTCTTAACCTCTCCTCGGGGCAGTCCCCTGTCTGAAAATGAGCACGATCACAAGAAGTGACCTTCGCTAGGACCCGATGAACTCGGAGGCACCGCGCTTCGGGTCCATGCGGGCCACGCAGCGCGCGCTGGCTGCGTGCGAGCTCCGGGACCGTCCCGCTCCCGGGGACCCCGACTTCGCGGCCCCTGGGGGGACGCCGCCCCTCCCCACGCCATCCTCACCCCTCCCCGCCCGCGCTCCCCGCCCCCACCCCACCCCACCGCACCCCACCCCGCCCCATCCGCACCCGTGGCTTCCACCATGCCCTCGAGGATGACGACGATCTCGAAGTCGTCCCTCTCCAGGGCGCGGCGCGACGCCTCCCAGAAGGGGCTGGCGGCGTCGATCTCGTGGCTGATGACGAGCGGCGACACGAGGAAGAGGCGGTCGTCGCCCGTGTCGAAGCCCACGCTGAGGTCGGTCTGGTGCAGCGGGATGAACTCGCCCTCGAGCGTCTGGCGCGAGCGGATGAGCTTGGCGCGGATGGAAGCCTCCACGATGTGCGACGAGCGCAGGTCGCCCACGCGGAACATGAGGCACAGGCGGCCGTCGCGCAGCGACACCACGGCGTGCGACGAGAAGACGAGCGTGGCGGCGCGCTTGTTGGGCTGCGAGATCTTGACGAACATGCAGCCCACCATGAAGGCGTTCACCATGGAGCCCAGGATGGCCTGCAGCAGCAGCAGCGCGATGCCCTCGGGGCACTGGTCGGTGATGACGCGGTGCCCGTAGCCGATGGTGGTCTCCGTCTCGATGGAGAACAGGAAGGCGGCCACGAAGCCGTTGAGGTTGTTGACGCACGGCGTCCACGCCGCGTCGCCCAGGTGCTCCAGGTCGCCGCGGCCGTAGGCCACCAGCCACCAGATGGCGCCGAAGAAGAGCCAGGTGAGCGCGTAGGCGAGCACGAAGAAGAGCAGGCTGAGGCGCCACTGCAGGTCGGCCAGCGTGGTGAACAGGTCGGTCAGGTAGCGGCCCGGCTCGCGCACGTTGCCCTGCTGCACGTTGCACCGGCCGTCCTTCTCCACGTAGCGCTGGCGGCCGCGGCGGCGCGGCGGCTCCGGGCCCGGCGAGCGGGGGGGCGCCGGCCCGCGCCATGGCCGCGGCCGCAGGGGGCCTGCGGGACCGGAGCGCGCGGCGCGTCAGCCCCGGCTCGCCCCCCCCTCCCCACCACCACCAGGGTGTGCCCCGTGCGACCGCCGCCCCCAGCCCCCCACCCCCACCCCGGGGTGCGGCCGGGGGGCGCTTCCTTCACTCTCCTAGCGGGGGGTGCCGTGGAGGCCGCCCGCTGCCC